AACAAGACCAGCTATATTACTATGCACATATGAGCCAGGGTTTTCCATGGCATACCTCACACCAGCTTGAGCAGCCAAATGCATCACATGGGTAAACGCCACAACCTCGAAAAGCTTGCTCAACAAAGCAGAGTCATTGATGTCGCCTTCCACAATGAACACCCCAGACCGCTCCAAAAGCGCTTGGCGAGCTCTCTTCAATGAAGGGTCATAGTAGTCATTGAAACAGTCCAGACCAAGCACGCCGTCTCCTCGGCGTTTGAGCGCCGCAGAGACGTGGGTCCCGACGAACCCGGCCGCCCCAGTGACCAGAACCGACATTCCGTGGCGGGACCGAACTCGGGCCGAGGACCTGACCCGTTTTTCCCAGGCGGGTCCACCCCAATTGTAGGTTCTGAGAGAACGGCGAGAGGGATCGGACGGTAGAGAATTGGACGACGGTGACCGGAAGAAGAAGATCAAGATCAAGCCCAAGAAGATAAAAGACCAAAATGTGAGCTTGGCAAGAGAGCCGTGCCAACGAAGCCTGTGAATGTAAGGAGACTTGTCCATCTTGAACTTTCCTGGAGTTGGAGGACTGTTGTCAAGGTGCTTGAGCTGGGACATTTTCTATGGAAAATGTGGACAGAACCCAGTTCTTGGTTCGGTGAATTGTGACTGGGAAGTTTGGGATTTGGGTCAGGTTTAGGGTTTGAGGAACTGGGTACCTTGAAATTTCATGTGGTGGGGTTGGTGGTGGTGGTGGTGGTGGTGTTGAAGATAAGAAAAGTGAGGGGCTTTGGTTGGTGTTTTTCTTTTTATCTTTTTAGCTCTTTTTCATGTTCTGATCGATAATGGGAATCTTCTGGTTTCTTGGAGAGATGGGTTGTTGTTGGTGCAGTGGCTTCTCTCCTTTTGGGTTTATAGGTCTACGCAGAAAGAGTAAAAAAGAAAGTTCAAAGCTTTATATTTTGGTTAATCACTGTTTAGAGAGAGAGAGGAGAGAGGAAGAGATAGTGATGGAGATGAAGAAGACAGAGAACTGTAATATTTATTGAAATGGGGGCAGTAATGGAGATCAAGAAGACAAATAACTGTACAACTTAATTAAATCTGTTAAATTGATGGTAGTTTTCTGCAAAGCATCAAAGATAGCTAGTTTTGGTGTCATTTTTCTGTTGATACTTTTGGTTTCATTTCTGCTTTGAACAGGAAAACAATCAAAGATTGTTTGTTTGATAAAAACAACAGTAAATTCAAATATTGTTTTTTGTTGTGGCTGTTAAATTCAAATACTGTTTTATAAGATTTTCATTTGATTGGTTGTGAACACCTCTAAATTTTTGCCCCATTTATTTTGGGATATTTTGTGTGAGAGAGTTCTCTATATTTGGGTTGGAGTTATAATTAAGTTTGGGATTTGAGGAGGCGTGGGGATGTGGTTTGTTGGAGATGGTGTGGATGACATTTTTGACTCTTTTTTTTTGCTTACTTGAGATTTTGACTTTTTTTTTTAGTTTATCACCGTGGAAATATGTGAGAAGATGAATGCTGACAATCTTCTCTTTTAACCTTCTCTCTAACTTAAAAGAGAATGTTATAAATAATGTTGCTAGCATTCCTCATGTAAGAAATGTAGGGATTGAGAATTGCAATTATCTCATAATGAAGATTTAGGATACATTAATCGCTACAATTATAGTTTTATAAATAATAACATGTTATAGTTTATATATATATATGATAAATGAAAGAAGAACATGTTATGTGTTACATCAATTAGTTTTAAAAAAAAATTCAGAAAATTTGAACATCTCTGAACATCAAAAAATAACATGTTATGTGTCAATTTTTTGAGCTTTTACATTTCATTGATCAAATCAAACTATCTACATGCCTCACATATTTCCTATTTCACATTACATTCAATGAGTAAGATGAAATGATCGATTCCCCATTTTTTATGTATGAAAAAATGAGTTGATTGAATTATATCATAAATATACTGAACTATTATGCGATTACAAGTGTCGAAAACTTTTGAGTATTCTATATTTTCTATTAGTGAAAGCTATTATTAAGGTCTGCATACCATTTCGTCTGCAAAATTGTCCAAGACTATAATTAATGTCCTTTTTCCCCCTTAGATGAATAAGCTGATCATGATTATGTTGACAAATGCAACACATAATGATCATAATGATTGGAATTTGTATTTCAAAGTAGGCTTTACATTTGTTTTCTTAATTTTTTTTATTAGGTGGTAGGTGAGCTTACAATTCCATCATAAGCAGACCGTGATTGTCATGTGTGATTGTTCAACCTTATTACATGCAATTACATCTTGATCTGGCAAGAAGCCTTTCTATATAAAGGTTGATCATTTTCATCCTTCTGTCATCTTGTTTAGTTGAGACTGTATCACCAGCTCCGTGATGTAACCAATTCACTCATATTACAACACTTGTATATTTATTAATATCATATCTTAAAGTCAAAATTTATCAACCACCAATATTTTGCTTAATCCGTCAATTAGTAACACTACGTTTTTATGTTCCAGTATCACACAATAATTTCACCTTTTAACTATACAAACATGATTTAAAGGCTATGGGAGACAGTACTTATAATGCAAAACTAACTTGAAATGAAGGCAAAAGCATCTTTCCAAGAAGTCTTATTTGGTATCTTATACTGCAATTTATGGGCAGACTAGGATCATGTGGGTAGTTGCAAATGTAATATTATTGCAGGATAAGAAGCCCAAACTGCATTACTTCATCAAAAAGCTAATTGGCAATTGCCCCCTCAACTCAAAATGAAGAGTAATGCTGAAGAAATCGCACCTACACCTGTGCCCCACGTTCCCTACAACGTACTCCAATACATTTATGATATACATCAACTGGTGCACCCATCGATAATGCTCTTACATTTTGGAATTCTGACCATAAAGAGTAAGACTAATTTTGGTCTTTCCAACCCCTTTTTATCTGCCTTTATCTTGGCTACTACCACTAGGAATAAGATTATCCCATTTCTTTGAGAGATATTTAGTCATATGCCCATTCTTAGCACTTAGCACTAAAATTATAAATAAACTCTACACCATTTAATTTCTATAAACAAACCCAAAAAAAACCTAAAAAATGTCAGCTTGCCCTATTGAATTTAATTTTGATTATTAAATTACTTTGATGCCCTATTGAATGTTTTGGGATTTTTTATGAGGTTTTTGGGTTAGGTTTGTTTCAAGAAATTAATTGCAGTTTTGTAATTTAAAAGAAATTAAAAATATTTTTGTTATGTTGTAAATGAGCTTTTGGTGTGTTTATAAAGTCCATTTCATATAGGGTTTTTTATTAAAAAAAATTTGGGCTCATATATTGAGTATAATAGTGAATCTCCCATTTTTAATCCATCTTTTACTCCACATTAGAATAAAGCCTTTCCCCCTTCTCAATTTACTCAATTTTTCTGTGTTTAGTTCATTTCCAGTAATAAGTCAATTCTTTCTCACTTATAAGTTATAGTTTGACATATGAATCGTGTTTCAATTTTACACGATAATTTATTCCTCACGAGGTATGAGCGGACTATTTTCCATTTAATAGAACAAGTTGATTATAACGTAGCAGATACCAAGAATTCTGCATTTTTAAGCACAGTTGATCCTGAAGATGCATTGGCTGTTATGTATGTTATTGAAAACATAAATTTTACTCTGCTATCACCATCTCCATGTGAATCTGATACAAAAAAGGACAGGGGAACATGTCTTGGTAGCCTTTTATTTAATATCCTGGCATCATGTTCCATGCCCTGCAAGTTAATGTAAGCTGGACATGGACACGTGATTAAATCTACACAACTTGTAGTTTACTAATAAAGTATATAACACTCATGGCTATTCTCATAGTACAGTAGATCCAGGACGGTGCTGCTAGAAACCTATGCAATGACAAACAAAAAGTGCTTTTGGGATGAACTAATAGTTCAGCGTTTCATAACATATGTGATGGAATTTGTCCCATAGAAAGGTACAAAGAAAAAAGGGTCTGCAGATCCAAGAACCAAATCACCAATTTTCACTATTGTTGAGTAGAATAAGATCACAATCTTAGAAACAATAATGAGCTCAACTTGCAAAAGTAGTCATCCAAAATTACAAGCCAATACAGAGAATAAAAAAGTGTTGCTTCCATCTGCATTGCTTTGGTTATAAATGTCTATATAATAGCTGTTCAATACTTGGTAAACCCCCCAAGAACTTCAAGGTAGTCAGGGAATGTTTTACTGGGACAACCAGGATCCTTAACTGGAACGTCTCCACAGCCAGCATGAGAGAAAGCCATGGCCATTCTGTGGTCATCGTACGTGTCTATCATTGTCACGTTTAGTTTCTCCGGCGGTGTGATTACACAGTAACCTGGTCCTTCTGCAGCTGTTGCTCCCATCTGAAATATTATGCCCGCACATATTAGAGAACGCATATGTATTAAGGTGTAGGAATATCAAGTGCAAGGAAAGCCACTAGAGACTACGTTCTGTGCAAAAGCAAGTGGCAATCATCCTTTCTTTCTCCTTCACTCTCCAGCTTGACACTGAAGAATACAAACTCAAGAAAAATTTCACTTGTGGTTTTTGAAACACGCAGGATTAATAAAATCACAAGCACTTTGTTCAGACAAGCAAAAGATTAATAATTGAATTATATCAAGGGCTTCAACCTGGAAAACATTCAACCTAACTTCTTCCAACAACTATTTGAAAAATAAAATTCTCTGAACTATTTTGTCGCCAAGATAGGTAGATTGCTTTGTTCATTTGATAGGAAGAAAGATGTAAGCCCACATTTTGGTGATCACTGATCACTACTAGTTTCAATCCTAGTTGTTAATTAGAAGAAGATCCCAGAACCAAATCACTAATTCACTACTCTTGAGCAGACAAATAGTTAAGAGTTTCATAAACAAATGTGAGAGTTTGTCCCAAAGAAAGGTACAAAGAAGATCCTAGAACCAAATCACTAATGCACTATTATTGAGTAGAATAAGATCACAATATTTGAAACAATAGTGCGCTCAACTTGCAAATATAATCATCCAAAATTACAAGGCAACAAAGAGAATAAAAAAGGGTGGCTTCTATCTGCACTTGCTTGGTTGTAGAGGCACAAGGATGATTCCTCTCTCTCTCTCTCTCTCCCTATCTACATAGAAGTACTTTGAGTAGCTGTTCAATGCTTGGTAAACTTCCCAAGGACTTCAAAGTAATCAGGGAATGTTTTTCTGGTACAACCTGGATCATTGATAGTGACTGGAACGTCTCCACATGCAGCAAGAGAGAAAGCCATGGCCATTCTGTGGTCATCATAGGTGTCAATTGCTGTCACATTTAATCTTTCTGGCGGTGTGATTACACAGTAATCTGGTCCTTCTTCGACAGTTGCTCCCAGCTGAAATATAATGTTACAAATTACAAACATGTTAGAGAAGGCATACTTAACAAGGTGTAGGAATATGATAATATCAAGTAAAAGGAAAGCCACTAACAACTGACCTTTCTGAGTTCAGTGCAAATGGCAATCATCCTTTCTGTCTCCTTCACTCTCCAGCTTGCCACTGAAGAATACAAACTCAAGAAGTCAAGGCAAGTGTTTTCACAAGTAATTTTTGAATAACATGCAGTAGTTTTAAAAGCATGAGCATTCTGTTTTGATAAGAAAAATGATTAATCTCGAATTATATACTTATCAACAAGGGCTTCGGCCTGAAAAAAAAAAAATTTCATTCTCACTTCAACAACTATATGAAAAATATTTTTTTCCTTTCAACCTTCTTCTCTCCAAGGGGCCTCCATCTTTTAACAGGGATCCCATCTACCAAGAAATTTATTTGTTAATTTTAAAGGAAGAAAGATGTCACCCCCCATGTAGTGACTACTGGTAGTTTTTCAGTGTTAGTGTGCTTGTACCAGCTGTTAAGTGGAAGGCCGAACAAATGGGAATTCCAATATCTAGGACTCTAGTAGCATTGCATACACTGCTGTTTTCAGAACAAAAAGGGATAGCTGATCCTCCACCATGTAAAATTGCTAAGGTTTTATTCATTGAACTCACGAAATAACTAAATAAGGTCGCTAAAAGCTTTCCCGAAAAAATAAAATAAAAATTGTTGTATAGTGCCAATGAACCTTATATTTCAGTATACAATAATGCTTCCATTACTGCTGCATAAGTTTTAGATTCTTTATTTTCGTTTCTCTTAAGTTATTTTTTTTCTTTTTTGCTTATTTACTTCGAAACATGCAAATCTGAGACCTATATGGACTCCACCCATGCTTTACCTTTACTGTCTACATAAAACTAAAGCGTTAAGCACAAGCGATTAAACAAACTAAAATACACCATACCATCTCTTATGGCAGTTGGACCATCGGCAAAAAGAGCAACTACAGCAAGAGTCATCGCAACATCTGGCATTTTGTTCATGTTGACATCAACAGCTTTCAAGTGTTTTCTGGAAGAATTTCGTTGTGGTCCTGTAACAGTGACACTATTCTCTCTCCAGGTAACTTTAGCACCCATCTTTTCAAGAACCTCAGCAAATTTTACATCTCCCTTGATTAATGAAAGACCATAAAAATGTAAGATTGTTAGAATTTTCTAGTTGTAATTCATAATTACTTTCCAAAAATCACCGAGACATAGTTGTAACTATGAATTGAAAAATAGAGTGCCCCAAGAATACTAAAGATTGTACCAATCTGAAATCATGCACACAGTGGGGAAGTAACCAGAAGTAAACAAAATATCTTGGTCTCTGTGAAATACCTGTAAACTGCTTGTTCCGCAGCCTTCAACTGTGACTGTCCCACCCGTGACTGCAGCACCTGCTAGAAAGTAACTTGCACTTGAAGCATCGCCTTCTACAAAAGCATTTCCAGGTGACCTGATAGATTTTTTTCATTTTGTTACACACAACACAACCATATTTCACAAACTGGCCCAGCTATATAATAAATAAGACGTACTTGTACTTTTGACCTCCTCGGATAAAAAACCGATCCCAGCTATCACTGTGTTCCACTGTGACTCCAAATCGTTTCATCAACTTCAAAGTCATCTCCACATAAGGAATGGAAATCAGTTTATCAATGATCTCAACTTCAACATCTCCAAGAGCCAAAGGCGCTGCCATAAGCAAAGCAGTCAAGTATTGACTACTAATTGATCCAGAGAGCTTCACCTGAAAACAACACATAAATATAGATTAAAATGATAACCTTCATCAACACTGCAGGAATTACCACTACAAAGGCTTAGTTCAAAAGAAGGAAACTATTGAAAAATATTTATTGATTTATTAATTAGCATGAGATAACATCTGCAAAGAGTTTATATATCAAATATAACAAATGACTAAATCATGTCCCCTTTTTTATTTTTCTTTTTTGAAACCGCCAAGTGCAAGAAATCAAAATGGGTTCTCTTCCCTAGAAAAAGCCAATGAATAATTGGGCAACTAAAACATTATATATTGCATAAGTTCTCTGTTTTTTAACTAAAGAGCTTCAGCTTCCCAAGAACTTAAGAGCTTCAGCAAATTCAAAAGAGAAAACATAAGAGACCCAGGAAGAAGAAATCATATTTTGACACATACAAGAGTGATATTTTATTCTCAAATAACACAATAAAATTCAGAGACTATTATTGATCAGACTTTCATAGTATCTTAGTGTTTACAATGAATTAGATCAAGAACAAAACATTAAACAACCATTACTGTAAAAGATGATGCAAAACATACCTTTCCCCCTGGAAGGCCTCCCTTTCCAATTACACGGACAGGAGGGCAGTTTGTTCCGAGAAAACAATCAACATCTGCACCAAGCTGCTTAAGACCAGCAACCAAATCTCCAATTGGTCTCTCCCTCATTCGGGGCACCCCATCAAGCACATACCTGAACATTTTTAATAGTACAGGAAAGTCATTGAAAATATGATACTAGTTTGTAGCGAATTACTATAATACCAGATTTCAAGGATGCTGAATTACAATAAATATGTAAGTATTTAACAGAAAATTGTTCTGTAATGTAAAATGTTGGGGGAAAAAAATCCATCCAAGGGGGCAGGATCACAATTTTAGTTTAATATGGAAATCAGACGAACCTAGAATGTCCACCAGCAGCAACAACTGCAGCCGTCAATGGCCTCATTGCTGTACCAGCATTTCCAAGGAAAAGTTGCACCTCATCTCCTGATTCATTACCCAAAGGAAACTGACCACCACAACCCTCCACAACTGCTTGCTTGTTTGCCTTGTCCTCTTCCACATTGAGCCCAAGGGTTTTCAATGCACCAAGCATATAATGAATATCATCACTATCTAACAAGTTGTCTACAACAGTTTTTCCCTGAATAATAGCATGAAAACAAGAGTTATGTAAAGAAATCTTGAAAATAAAATGTATGAAGCAAAAGGAAGTATCATCAATCACTCTATGGAACAACAGAATTCGTTCTCTCTAATAGGATAACTTGGATAATACTGTTCCAAAAACTCAATTTGCTTTCAAGAGTTTCCGATCCACCAAACAGAACAACATTCTAGTACAATTAATTAGTCGACAGAAACATATCTGATCTCATTCCAGTTTAATTAGTTATATCCCCCCAAAGTACGTTTCAGATACCAAACCACAAAATATTCAATCTACTTATCAACAAGACAGAATCCTTTTCTAATCTGTAATGTAAATTGAAAACTAAATTAGTGAAAGAATGGATAAACCCAATTATCAAAATCTACAAAAATTGCTTTAATTTCTTTCCCACATCTTTTCAACAACCAAACAAAGCTTACCAATCCCAAGCACATTTTATCAGGCTTATATCAAATTCAAATCAGCTATAAAGACAATCTTTTTTATACCTCAGATAGAGCAGCAATAAGCAGAATCCGATTAGACAACGACTTGGAACCCGGCAACTTTATGGTGCCCGAGATTTCTTTGATGGGCTGCAACACAATCTCTGGAACTGTCGACGGCTTCTCTGTTGTGGCAACTGAAGCTGAAACTCTAAGCGGACCAACCCTGACTTTGTCGACCGTACAAGTACTCACAAACCCATTTTTCAGCTTCAAACTCAGAGAATTTGAGGATCCCGAAAACTGTGACTTCAACGAGAGTAAATTTGAAGATTTGGGTATTTGGGGTCTGGAAATATTGGGCAAAAGATTGGTGCTTTGAGCTCCATTGCTACAGATTTTGCTCACTTGGGCCATCTCGCTATTTCTCTCTCTCTTTCTCTCTCAAACTCTCTTTTAAGAGTTGTCTCACTTTCTCTCTCTCTCTCTCTAACTCTCTTTTAAGAGTTGGCGGAATGGAAAGTTGGGTTTTTGGTGGGAGTGGTCGTAGGTGGGGATTGATGGACTCTCTCTCTCTACCATTTACCAACCAATTCTGACATCAGAAATTTGAAATATAAATGAGGAAGTTCTATTTTCCCATGTGGGAATTTTGTATATTCAAAATGTTAGCTACCTGCCTTTGTGCTTTGAAGGGTTGTACCTTGTGCTTTGAAATGGTGTACTCTGCCTTTTCTGGGAAGAAAAAGATTTAGAGGGGTTTTTGGAGTATTTGTTCCCTAATTGGGTTTGGTAGGGCTTGCGCACGTTTTGCTGGGAATGGGAAGTATAGAGTGTCACTGTCTCTCACCAACCCCCTTATCAGGAGGTCCATGTCATTATTCATCTTCTATAGTTAGGAAAAAAAATATATTCTAAAAGAGTTGGAGCTTTAATTAGCCATCTTGTGACCATACCAACCACTTGATGATCCAACAACAGAAATTCATTAATCACTCTCCATTCCTTATATCATTTTGGTCCTTTCTGTTGCCTTAAAAAAGTTAAAATTTAGGGGCAAAGAGTTTGTAATTTTGTAAATCAAGTACTTAACAGTATTTACTTATATAGACGAACTAGAGCACATATCATGTTAAGTATGGTTAGTACTAACCATACTTAATAGATGCGAACCAAAGAGATTGGACCATACATGTGTTGGCTCATGCCTTATCTTGATATGGACTATTTTGACCTAAGAAGTAAACTCGACCAATGCCCTATTCATGAGGTCCTATAAAAAGGAAAATATTTTCCTCATTCCTCTAAAAGTAGAAATTTCTAACTTTCTACCAATCATAATTTGACACACGTACACATTTTTTTTATATTTTTTAAATGAATTATTTTGTAATTTGCATGAAGCAACCCAACAGTGTGACGATGTCCAAAATAAAACACAAGCATACAGAGACTTAAGTCATTCTTTTCATCCCCTTTCCCCGGGGCTCTCCTTTCCATCTTGTCCCGCATTTGCTAAGAAACTCTAACCCTAAAATTGTTTTTGCCTTATTTCACAATTTTTTTTTGCTTTCCTTTTTCTTTCCTTCATCCGGATCCCACGAGTCATCACCTCTCTCTTTCAGTTCTTCTCTATATAGAATCGCATTGGATCTACAACTTCTAACCCTAAATATGAGAACTTGCGTATTTCTTTTCCCAATATTAGAAGAGGTTCTCAAACTCTAAATTTAAATTACTAATTTTAAAGGAGAAAATAAAATAAAAAAAACTCCCGTTACATGAAAAAGTGGGCCTTGAGAATCGAGGAAGTAGATATGGGCCATCATTTAGAAGATGGGTCGTCTCACATGTCAGCCTGCACACAGCACATTATATTCGTCTGCAACATGTTGTTGCACGTGAAAAACAACAACAAAACAAACAAACAAAAAAGAGCATGTTTACACACGAGTAATTGAAAAACCAACACACATACACATGTTTTATCGCTTAAACATGTGGAAAACAACCTTTCAATTGCTCTCTAATTGGAAAATATTAAACAAAGATTAACTCATTGAAAACTAACAAAGTTCATTAAACCTTTTCCACCTCGTACTAATTTCTCCGGTGTGCTCAAGAACTTTTCTGTTTCCATATTCTTCCCAAATCTGAAACAATGGGCTTTCCCCAGAGTCATTTTGGGTTGGCCTGTGTTGATCCTTTCTGTGGCCATTTTATTTTCCACCCTCCCTTCAAAAACACTCACATTGAATCAAAATGATGTGCGTTGGTCAATTGGTAGATGAGAGATTCAGGTGACAAATCCCATGCATGCACATGTCCATCTTACTCTAATGGTACTTTTCATTTGTCAGTGTTGTGGGGGAGATGCCTGGTTGAAAAGGAATATAATATAGCATAAATATATACATTGTGCATAGTATATTCCAAAACTCACCAAATTAATTCTCACTTTCAAAATAATGATATGGAAATTTGAGGTTATTATTTTCCTTCTTGTAAATTGGGATATAATATGCTCAAAACAAATCCAAGGGGAGAGATATAATAAAAGAATATGCTCAGTATGCTGAATAATATGCTGTAATTCTCTAAACAATATTTTAGGTTAAATTATAATTATAATATTTTTGTAAATTGGGTCCCATTGCCAGCACCAAACTTCACTGTCAATGTTTGTCCCAAAAAAAAAAAAAAAAAAACTTCACTGTCAATTCCAAAGAAAGATATTTGAGGGAAGGAAATACCAACCTCTGTTGAATGCACCTTCTGCTGACACCCAGCCATACTTGCATATCATTATATCATATCAATGAATTTTTGGTGGTAGAAGACAACAATATGGATAGGTGAGGGTGATGACAGCAGCTTCAACAACCACAAACTTAAGGGTCAGCATTTGCCCTTCATTGCCCACATGTGGACCCCATGGCTTTGGCATGCCAAATTTCTTACACACAAGGTTGTTGCCATAACTTGGAAGGTCATCACACAAATGGATTGCCCTACTCTCTTTTGAATGGCTTGAAATCAATGTCCATTATCCAAATCCAAATCATTTTAGAAATTACATACAAAACCACTTTTATGGAGGGAACACACAAATGGATTGCCCTACTTTATTTACCTGAAAAATAACAGTTACAATATTTATTCCAAGTGTAAAGCTGCCCTTCTTATTACAAAATAGACAATCCCAAATAGTTTCTGAGTTACAAAGTGAAGAAAATGATGGAGAAAGTGAAACTCATTGATTAACCACAGAGCATTAGCATTACAAAACTCAAGACAGGTCCAAGAGTTGTTACAAAATACAAGAGCATTCTCATACCCTACCCTCTCTTTTGATCCATGTTGCTTCACTGAAGAATTATAAGCAACAAATGGAAAATAATATTTTATTAAAACAAAAGAGACCATACTGTGAAACAAATCACAAGAATATGGCCTCTTACCTTGATCTCCAACCAAAACCAAATTTGCTAAATAACAAGTTGCCTAGCTAACTTCTTTTGCTGCTGCAATAACTGCCTCAACGGTAAGGCCAAACTCCTTGTATATTTTTCCAGCTGGTGCACTTGCCCCAAAATGATCAATTCCAATAGCCTTTCCTTTGCTTCCAAGAAGCTTTTCCCACCCAAATGTTGATCCAGCTTCAATGCTAACTCTTGCTGTTACTGCAGCCGGCAAAACACTTTCCTTGTAGGCATCTGATTGCTCATCAAAGAGTTCCCAAGAAACAAAGGAGACAACTCTAACAGCCTTCCCTTCCTTTCTGAGTTCCTCACCAGCTTTGAAAGCAATTTCCAACTCGGAGCCAGTTGCAAGCAAAATGACATCTGGCTTGTTACCTGAAGAGTTGTCTGATATAATGTAACCACCCTTCTCGACTCCCTCAATGGAAGTCCCAGGAAGATTGGGCAGCTTTTGGCGAGAGAGGGCGAGGATAGATGGCCTCTTCCTGTTAAGGACTGCAACCCTGTATGACCCAGCAGTCTCATTCCCATCAGCTGGGCGGAGCATCAAAATGTTGGGCATTGCCCGGAAACTTGCCAAGTGCTCTATTGGTTGATGGGTTGGTCCATCTTCTCCAAGCCCAATTGAATCATGGGTCATAACATAGATAACTCCAGCCTCTGACAAGGCAGAGATCCTTATGGCAGCTCTCATGTAGTCCGTGAAAACAAAGAAAGTGGCACAGTACGGAATGAGGCCAGGGCTGTGAAGGGCAATCCCATTGCAGATGGCTCCCATCCCATGCTCCCTAACACCAAACCTAACATTGCGTTCTTCCGGGGTATTCTTCTGGAAGTCTCCAAAACTTTTTAGTAAAGTCATGTTTGAAGAAGCAAGGTCTGCACTTCCACCAAGAAGACCAGGGAGAACCTTCACAAGGGCATTTAGGTTTGCTTGAGATAAATTTCGGGTAGCATCAGCTGGGCTCTCTGGAGTGTAAGTCTGGAAAATTGCAAACAGTAGACCTCATAAGATGACTTTCATATCCAATCCTAGCTAGCTACATTAATATACAAAATAGTTTATCACAGAATCTGCAAAGTAGGCCTGGCCAATTCTGAGACTAAGTTAAGGTGCAGGGACCCAAAAGAAGCCAAGACATGATACCAATGCCATTCAGAATGCTTGCGCCAATGTTTTTGCGCTCATTGCCAAGTAGCCCGCATGTAAAATAACTAAATAGGTTCTTAAAGATAAAAAGAGCAATTAAAGGTAGAGCTCTACTCACCGGAAGTGCTTTTTCCCAACCAGCTGGTAGCTCACCCGTAATGATGGACTTCAGCTCTGCAGCTTCCTCCTTGTACTTCTTCTCATATTCAGCAAACTTGGCATTCCATTCAGCTTCAAGAGCAGAACCCTCAGCGGTATGGCGACTCCAATGACTAAGATAGAAACAAACAAGATGATCTGTAATTAATGCCAGTAGACTGATTAAAACAACAGAAATTTAATGGGGTGGTCCTTACCTTTTAACATCCTCTGGTACATGGAAAGGCTCATATGGCCATCCAAGGTTCTTCCGGGTAGCATCCACTTCCTTAGCACCCAATGCAGCACCATGAACACTGTATGAGTTTGCTTTGTTTGGAGATCCAAAACCAATGGTTGTTGTCACCTGCAAAGATGCAAAAGTTCAATATGACATTGACTAATATCAAATCAAAATGTCATATCAAATTCCCCTTGAACTCCAAAAATAGGCATTTATACCAAAAAATCACGTAGCTTGCCCTCTTACTAAGATTTAACGACAAAGCTGTTTGAGCTATTATACAATTACCGCAAATATTAGACCTTTTCCAATAAATAAGTGACAAATATAATAGTTCATAGATAATGGTTTGTTTCTTCAAATCACATCCAAGTGTACTATATTCAACATTCAACAATCTGAAAAGAATGCAGCATATATCTGACCTTTATCAAAGTGGGTCTATCTGTGACAGCCTTTGCTTCCTTGATGGCAGCTCGAATCTCATCATACCCGGTGTTTCCATTCTTCACCCAGATAACGTGCCACCCAAGACCCTCAAAACGGGTATCAACACTCT